TCTAGTGCATTTTTTAACGGATTTCAAATTTCCCTGTCCATTTAAGGGGTAGGACAAAAGCACTTTGCCCCCTATAAATTTCTGTTTTCGCACTTTTCCCCCTAAAAAAAATGGATATTCCCTCTTCGAAATATTATAGTGATTGTACTTTGCCCGATAAGCCATTTTTTGGAGGGCATTGTACAACAAAAATAACAATTCAAAGGGGCAATGTGCAAAAAAATAATGTTTTTAAGGGGCAACGTGCAATAAAAATAACATTTAAAGGGGCAACGCGCAACAAAAGTCTTCAATTCCGATGAATAATCCATTGAAATTTTGCTATCGGGGTGCTACAAGAATAATATTTTGAAGGGGTACGTTCACTTTTAAAAAAAATGAGGGGGTAAAGTGAAAAATTAGAAATTTACAGGGAGTGATGTGCAATTTTCCCTAAGGGGTATATGCATCATTTTAGGGTATATATGTTTTTTTTTTCAATTTCACTCGATTTTAATTTTTATCCATCTAATTCTAAGGACCAAATTGTAATTTAATTTTTTTTTTAAAAACCCTAATCACCTTCCTTCTTCCAACCACGGCACCACCACCTGCTCCAGTACCACCACTCTTCATCATCTCAAAAAATCATCATCTTCATGGCATCAAGCAAAAGACCCACCACCTAATGTTTGCTCTCACCATTTTCAAGTTTCTCATAACCCAAGTTTCTTCTGCGAACACCATAACCCTCATTCCGTTGTTGCTCAATTTTCGTATTCTCATTAATAGTTATTGCAAGCTCGATTGACGTCGCCCCCCGCCTTCTCCAATTATCCCTCACCAAAATTGACATGTTCTGCGACGATGAAGACGACGATCAGTCACACATCATCGACGCATTCTAATTTATTGGGCCACCTAAAATCCTATGTAAGAATGGACGACGGATTGTCTGAATTTAGTGTTGGCTGGCATAGGTGGTTGGTTATCTGGATTTGGGATGGGTTCTTCGTGGTGATGTTGCAGTAATTAATTACCAAAATCTAGTGATAAATAAATAAAGTATAAGATTAATACGAAACTGGCCTGCCGAGTCTTATTATAACCATGAGGCAATTTTTTTTCTATGCCATTTGGCCCAATAAAATATGAGACGTGTTATTTTCACCATCAAAATATTTTATTTCACCACCACATTAAATATATTTTCTATTTTACCTCTTTTTTCTTCTTCAATCTACATTATGTACAAATTCATAAACCGTCCACCACTAAACTAATTAAAATATTTACAAAAAAACTCCACCATTTTGCGCTGCAATTTTTACCACAAAATCCTACCCTCTCCACCTTAATTGAACAATACCTTCGTCAGAGAAAAATACCAAAGGTAAAAAAGAACAGGAACTCATGCTCTTGGGGAAATAAATTAAGAGTGTTTGTATGGAAGGTCCTGAATTTTCTCCAAAATTGGCCAGTTTGTCTTAATATAATTTTGTTTACTAAAAATAAAAAGGGGTTTTTGTGCATAAGTCCCTAACCAAACATCTTTATTATTCAAGGTTTAGGGGCTATATCTCTTTCACCAATAAGCCCATCCCTTTAATATCATCCCTTTAATATTTATTATAAATAAAGAATAAATTCATGTATAGGACAAAATTACCCCCGACCATTTACACAAAATTCTTAATTGTAACCCCAATTTAATCAATTTGGACAACACAAATTCAATTTTGACTTTTTTTTTTCAAAAATATTTTTTTGCCGCAGGATTCCGGTGATGTCATTTTCGATTTTCCTTCTTTCTCTCTCTTTTTGTTTTTTTTTCGCCGTCGGATTCCAGCCCACCGCCAGATTCCGGCGTTGACCTGTTTTTTTTTTTTATTTTTTTACGTCCGCCGCTAAACGTTGATCGTAATTGTGCTGTCATTAACGGTAATTATACTTTCACTGACAGTAAATTAACGTAATTATACTGTCATTGACAGTACATTAACGTAATTGTACTGCCGTTGACAGTAAGTTAACGTAATATTATTAATTTTTTTTTGTTATTTTTTTTATTTTGTTTGATTTGTAGACAAGTCAACGTAATTATATTACTATCGTTGACAGTAAAATAACTAATATTATTGTCAACCACATCAATATTATTATTTTTTTGGGTTTTTTTTTGTTTTGTTTGAGTTATTCACGGAGTAACGTAATAATATTACTGTCTATTGTAATATTACTGTAAACACATTTACACAATAATATTACCGTGGTTGACGGTAATATTACTGTTGTTATTGTAATATTACTGTCAACCACATCAATATTATTATTTTTTTGGGTTTTTTGTTTTGTTTGAGTTATTCACGGAGTAACGTAATAATATTACTGTCTATTATTGTATATTACTGTGGTTGACGGTAATACTACTGTTGTTATAGTAACATTACTGTCACTCACAGTAATATTAATTCTTTTGGCTTTTTATTATGTTTACATTTGTTGAATGATCAACATATTAATATTACTCTATAACACAATAATAATGAGTTTTGTTGTGTTAATGTTACTGTGGTAGAGATTAATATAGCAATATTACTATGTTAAACTGTAGTTTAGTTAATTTTACGGTGTTTAACAATAATATAGTTAATATTACTATCAATCACAACAATATTCCTGTTTAAACGGGGAAAAAAGATGTTAAAGAAAAAAGAAAAAAAATCAAAAAAGTCAACGTCTGAGACCGGCGTTGACAGCCGGTCAACGCCAGAAACCGGTGGCGGAAAAATCAAAAAGAAAAAAAAAGAGTCAACGCCGGAAACCGGCGGTCGCCGGCGGTGACGGACGAAATTGTCCATAAAAATGTGTTTTGGGTCAAAATTGAATAATTTGTGAAATTTGGGGTCAAATTGAGGTTAGATCAAATTAAAGGATGAAATTGAAACATATTAAAGTACGAGGGGCTATTTTAGTGTTTTACAAACCTCTGGACCATGTGTGGATTTTTTTATAAAATAATTTATTGTCTGGATCTCTTTATGAATAAGTACCCATTGATGGACTTATTTGTAAAGTGCCAAAATTTTTTTTACATAATTTGCAGGTCATCTGATGCATGTTTAAATATCTTGTAATAAATATTTCATTGCAAAAAAAAAAATAATAATAAATAACTTAGAACATATGCGGATTAAACAAATATAAGGAAACGTGATGAATTAGAAATTCGAGGGGTATTTATGATATTTTACATATTTTTTGTGTTGAACTAAGATACATTAAAGGTGGAAATAACACAACTCTAAAATACAATTTCAATTCTACGAAAATAGGCCTCACTACTAATTGTGCTCTTCTTAAGAAGCTACCACTGGTTAATTCTTTATCCAAGAAAATATATTTGTTGAAATATATTTTCGATCAAGTTAACATGCGGTATCTCGGCTATAATACAAAATTAAATATTTACGGTGAACTTCCTTCATCGATATCCCTACTTTGGAACATGCTAACACTAATTATCGAAGGGAATATTTTCGCACCATCTAGAATTTGGGAGATGCGACAACTTAGGCAGGGCCGGTCCGGCATATTTGGGGGGCCGGGGCGAGAATATATATATTGTGCCCTTAATAATATGAAGTTTCAGGGCAACGCCCCGACTCTTTTTTTTTTTTTTTTTTGGAATTTTGGGTCGAGAATATATATGGCGATTTTTTTTTTGTTTTGCATATGATATATTTGACAAAATAATATAGATAAATATTTTATTAATTTAAATTTCATTATCAACAAATATTGGAAATATTAATGTATATATTTTTATATGGTATATATTTTAAACTAACCTTTGAAAATTATAAATAGAACGTTTTTTTGGAACAATGGAAGAATAATTTTTTTTATACAATAGAAAATTATTTTTTTCACACATAAAAGATGTAAGTATATATATAAAAAAAAAAAATAATAAAAAAAACTGGGCCCCTTATGAAATTGGGCCCTGAACTTAGGCATAAGGATATCTATCGGCTATACCATCCCGATCCTCCGTCAAATGAGCCCATTTTGCGACGCTCAATTGTAAGAGGATCCCAAATGTCAAGAAATTGAACATAATGTTGCATATCGAGGAACCCACAATTGACTACTGTCTATACAATCTTTCGCGCTCGCGTAAACTCGAATCAATTACGTGCTCGTATTTAATATCGAATAATTTGTTGCAGAAAATAACATTTTCGAGTTCGATCAAGAAGTTGTCTTTAATATTTTGCCGAGTTAATTGGGAAGATTTAACAGTGATTGGTTCGTTACCGAATCTTGAAGCTTTGAAACTGAAATATGATTCAGTTAGAGGTGCCGTGTGGAATCCTATTGAGGGGGAATTTCTCTTCCCCAGTTAATTTTGGGAAGAATCAACCGTCTGCTGACTATATAAAATTTAAAGCTCACAATTTTTGTATAAAATTGGATAAAGTGTTATGTTGCATTAACGCAAATTAGATAATTTTGTAAATCATCTAATATAGAGTTTAAGTATCTTGTAATAAATATTTAATTGAAAAAAAAAAAAAAACTTAGAACAAAGGAAGATTAAACAAATAGAAGGAAGAATGGTGGATTATAAATTTGAAGGGTGTTCATAAATAGTATTTTATATAAATTTGATAGTGAATTGAGATAATTAGAAGATGGAAATAACACTGCTCTGGTTTTCGTAGAGCTTTCTCGACGACTCTGTTTTTCGTAGAGCTTCCTCGACTATTCATCTAAAAAAAATTAAGTCAAAGTCTTGTTTGCAAGTACAGCGAAACCAACCATCCTGCAAGTTGGCGGAGGAGCTGTCTTAGTTTTTAACCTAACCCATAAATTAACAAAACAAATTAATTAGCTGAAGAAAGTTGTTCTTAAAACAAATACTAAATTCTAAAAATGAAGACAATTTGTCCAAGCTTAACAATTATTATATTTCATAGTAGTTAACGAAAGTCTTCTAGTTGAAACTAAGATTAGAAATGGCGGCAGCATACGCAGCTCTAGTTTCTCTTACGAATATCATCGATCAGATTCATGTTCATCCTCGTCTTCCAATTTCTCTTGACAAGAAACAGTCTGAATCTCTCGTCGAAAAGGTCGGTTTCTTGCTAGATTTCATACAAACCGATTCGAATGGTGCTATAACCGAAGAAGCACAATTTTTGGAGAGACAAATTGCATCCGTAACCTATGCGGCTGAAGATGTAATCGAATCTCACATAGCCAACCAACTTCATGCTCGTTCAATTTTCTCGCTCGACCTTGTGAAGTTAATAGAAGAAACGAATTCCATCAAGAAAGAGATTACGGAGTTTAAAGAGGCTCCGGTTATTCTTAAGAATATCATGGATCAAATTCAGGATTATCCTCGTCTCCCGTTTTCTCTTGACAAGAAACAGGCTGAATATCTCGGCGAAAAGGTTGGGTTCTTGCTAGATTATCTAGATAATGATACTGACGGGGTTATGAGCAAACAAATCGAAGTTTTGGAGAGCCAAATTGCATCTGCACCCTATGCGGTTGAGAATATAATTGAATCTTACGTAGTCGACCAAATTCACGCTCATTTGACTTTCTTGCTCGACCTCATGACGGTAATAGAAGACATGGATTCCATCAAGAAAAGGGTTATGGAGTTTAAAGAGGAAAGACGTGGATCCAAAAATCGAAAGCCCACGTACTCGATGCCTATTACTACTAGTACTTCATCAAGACTTGTTACCAATGGCAAAAATACTATGATCGGATTTGATGAGAAGTTGATTCAACTATTGCACAGGTTCACGGGACAACCATCTCAACTGCAAATCATTACAATCGTTGGCATGGGCGGCATAGGTAAGACTACACTGGCAAAACATACTTATGAACATTCACTTATTACGAAGTATTTTGATATTCGTGCTTGGACTACAGTATCTCAAACATATAATGTGAAAGAGATTCTTCTGCAACTAGTTTATGGGCAAAGTAAATCTCGTAATACTGAAAGCAATAGAGAAACGGAGGAGGAAGTAGGAAAACAATTATACCAAGAATTATGGGGTCGGAGATATTTGATTGTAGTCGATGACATATGGAGCATCGAAGCTTGGGATAAGATACACCGTTTCTTGCCAGATAACAACAATGGAAGTCGAATTGTTATAACTACAAGGATATCAAATTTGAGTATCCGCGGCTCTCAGTGCCTTGAGTTGACGTTTTTGGATGAAGATAAAAGTTGGAAACTTTTTTGTGAAATGGCATTTGGTCTGGAAGGTTACCTTCCAGAACTAAAAGATATTGGAAAGGAGATTGCTAATAAATGCAAAGGACTCCCCCTTTCGATTGTTGTGATTGGTGGACTTCTTCGAAAATCCAATAGAACACAAGAATATTGGAAAGATATTGCTAAAGATTTAATCTCGATTCTAAATTCAGGAGAGCACGATGACTGCTTGAATATATTATCTTTGAGTTATACTCACTTGCCTACCCATCTTAAACCATGTCTTCTTCACATGGGGATTTTTCTAGAAGACAAGGAGAATTATGTCAACGAACTAATCAAACTTTGGGTTGCCGAAGGATTTATAAAACCAAATGCAATCCAAAGCTTGGAAGAGATTGCACGAGGTTACATTAATGATCTCGTTGAAAGGAATCTCATTCTAAAACATAAGATGGGATCAAATGGAAAAATACGAACTTTTAAGATCCATGATCTTATGAGAGACTTATGTCTCAAGTTAGCTCAAACAGAGAAGTTTATATGTATGTTGAAAGACATTCCACAAGGCATAGATAGGTAGCGTCGCATTATATTTATTGAAGAAAATTTGGAAGAGGGGTATCACACTCGAGTCGTTCCTGCTTTGCAATCAGAATCACTTGCTCGTACTTTGTTGATAAGCGCAGCGGGTCCATTGACGTTTAAACAAAGATTGTTGAGAGTACTTAATGTGCTTGACCAATCTATGGAAGAGGAAATTGACTTACCCAAAGATATTTTTGATCAAGTTAACTTGCGGTATCTTTCTTATGGATGCGAGTATGCGGGATCAATGGTGTGGGATGATCTTCCCTCGTCAATATCTTTACTTTGGAGTTTGCAAACACTGAGTATTCAGGGGACAATCTTTGCTCCATCTCAAATTTGGGAGATGCGACAACTTAGGCACTTGAAAATTGTTTCTCTATACATTACAGATCCTTCTCCAGATGGCCAACAACAAGACATTGTTTTGCGAAATCTACAGACACTTGTGTCTGTAGTAGACTTCGCATTGACCGATGAGGTATGTAAGAGAATCCCCAATGTCAAGAAATTGAGCATGCAGTTTTATAATCGCGAGAAAAGCTCAAATGACTATTGTCTCTACAATCTTTGCTATTTACTTAAACTTGAATCGTTTACTTGCTCAACGCATTATCTTGATAATTTGTTGCACAACATCATATTCCCGAATTCGCTCAAGAAGTTGACATTGCAACATTGTGGGCTCCACTGGGATGATTTGACAATGATTGGTTCGTTGCCCTATCTTGAAGTTTTGAAATTGAAACGGGGTTCGGTTAAAGGACGCGAGTGGAATCCTGTCGAGGGGGAATTCCTACGTTTGAAATTCTTGTTGATATACAAATGTGATATCATTTATTGGAATGCGGATAGCTCCCATTTCCCGGTCTTGGAGAGCCTTGTTCTTGTAGGATTGGTCGATTTGGATGAGATCCCTTCAGATATTGGAGAAATAACAACACTTGGAGTCGTTAGTTTGTACGACTGCAGTGAGTCCGCAACCCTTTCTGCAATGAAAATAGCAGAGGAACAAGAGTGTAATGATAATGAGGGACTTCAAGTTCGATTCGAGTTCAAGAATAAGTCAAAAGTAGACCGCTTCTGGAAAAATATCGAACAACTACACGGATTCACAGGTATAATTTAATTAATATGATTTCCTTAGTTAATTACAACACGGCTTCATGGAACCTTAATCCCATACCTTGAGGTTTAATTTAATTTAACCTCAATTTGACCCCAAATTTCACAAATGATTCAATTTGACCAAAAACTCAATTTTAAGGACAATTTCGCCCGTTGCCGCCGTTGACTTTTTTTTTTGTTTTGTTTTTTTTTCCTTCTTCCTGATTTTTCCACCGGTTTCCGTCATTGACTTTTTCGATTTTTTTTTCCTGCAGCCGGTCTCCGGCGGTGTTGACCTTTTTTCTTTCTTTAACATATTTTTGCCCCGTTTAAATATCAATATTGCTGTGGTTGACAGTAATATTAACTATATTACTGCTAAACACAGTAATATTAACTATACTACAGTTTAACACAGTAATATTGCTATAATAATCTCTAGCACAGTAATATTAACACAACAAAAGTCATTATTATTGTGTAAATAGAGTAATATTAATATATTGAACATTCAACAAAGGTAAACATAATAAAAAGTCAAAATAATTAATATTGATGTGGTTGACAGTGATATCACAGTCAACCGCCGTAATATTAATGTAATAATAGTAATATTACTGTAACAACAGTAATATTACCGTCAACCAAGGTAATATTATTGTGTTTACAGTAATATTACAATAGTAGACAGTAATATTATTACCTTAATCCGTCAACAACTCAAACAAAACAAAAGACCCAATAAATAATAATATTGATGTGGTTGACAATAATATTATTGTGGTTATAGTTATTTTACCGTCAACGACAGTAATATAATTACATTGGCTTGTCAACAAATCAAAACAAAAAAGCCAAAAAATTATAATATTGTAGCTGACTGTAATTATAGTGTCAACGACAGTACAATTACGTTAATGTACAGTCAACGGCAGTATAATTACTTTAATGTAATGTCAGTGGCAGTATAAGTAATGTTAATGACAACACAATTACTATTATTATGTTGCGATGGGTACATCATAACACCTAGTTGTTGTTGGACCAATTAATCAAATATGAATAGGAAATCAATACTTAACTAATAATAATCTTACAAATTTATTTTAGTTCATTAATTTCTTAAAATATATTTTCATTAATTATTATAAAATATACATACAACTTTTTAATTATTTTTCAATAATTTAATTTTAGTCTATTCAATTTTATATGATCCAATATTTATTATATTGTTATGTTCATTATGTTTTATATTTTAAAATATAAAATAATTGATGTTGAGGGGGTAAGTGTTACAAATGATATTTTAAGGGGTAAGTGTTACATATGTTATATTTCAGGGGTGCAAAGTGTATTTAACCATAAAACTAACAATAACGGTGACGGTGATTGCCACAGCTTAGTTATATTTAATTTAGTGTTCTAAAAATCGGTCGAGGTGGGCGATGAATCGGTCTCCGAGGCAGAGGCGGTCAAAAATCTTTACAATTTTAGTGTAAAAGTTTGAAAAATCGGTAATTGCATGTGAGGCGGCTCGAGACGGACAGAGGCAGGTCGAGGCGGGTCATATTTTGGTGGCATAAAACTGTAAAAAAATGATTTTTTTTTAAATAAAAACAACTTGGGCTTTTAATAAAAATTGAGTTTATGCTTTGTTTTATTTTGTTAATGTTAAATTTTATTTTTAAAGGATCTAATGATATATGTTTTCAATGTTCAAGTATAATTTTGTATGCACAGATTTTCGTTTCATTTTTATTTTGTAAGGATTTTTATTATATTATAATCTTATTATCATTAAAATTTTATTAGGTAATTATGATATATAAGCGATGGGGATAAAATCATGTTAAAATATATTTTTATATATTTTTTGAGTATTTATAAATAATGTCTAATATTATATTACATCAAATTAAAAAAAAAAACAGATTTATTTCTGATTTATCGTCGATTAATCACTGCTCGACGATTAATCGTGAGGCGATGCCTAACCGACTCGTAGACCTGGCCACGGTTCGGTTCAGTTCCGGTTCCGGTTCCAAACCGCCGGTTCCGGTTCCGATTTTGGAGGAACCGGAACCGAACCGAAAAAATCCGGTTCCTTGCGGTTCGGTTCCTAACCGGTTCCGGTTCGGTTCCCGGTTAGAACCGTAGAACCGTTCGGTTCTTAATAATATTTTTTTTATTTCATATATATATATATATATATATATAATTTGAAATATGAAAAAATGACAAAAGTGACAAGTATTAAGGGAAGGAGGGAGTAAGATCTTTGAAATATTATTAAATAATTGGTTGACCAGCAAGTACTTGAGCACTTCCCAGAATGTAAATACTTAAAAATTGTGGGAACAAATGAAGTGGTGGATCTGCATTCAATATTAAAATAAAAAACTAAAAAATAAATAAAAAAGTATGACAACAAAGTTCAAGCTAAGGGAAACTTAACATTTTGAAATAACAATTAAACTATTTAGTTTTTGCAGTTTGCACCACAAGCAAACTACAAAAAAAATTAATTTATTCATTGAAAGTGTGATAATATTGCTCAATAACCTCAGAAAGAAAGATTGTCTGCACCGGCCAAATCCTTTATAGAGTAAGTATTATCAAATTAATCAAATTAATACTTACTCTGTTCTTCTCATTTTATTTGTTCATTTGAGTTAGTGTGCACTTATTTAGAAAAAATGGGCCTTAAAGATATAGGTCTCTGGTGACAAAACGTATTAGAATCAGAAGACAAGTCCAACTGAACATTTGCTTCACATCCTTTATAAAATTCATTACAAAAATGTCCTTCCACTCACAAATTCAAAATCTGCATTTAATATTTTATTTGTTCTACATTTAATAGTTTCATTTCTACGTCTATTTTTTTTTTAATTTTGTTTACAGAAAATATTTTTGTCGTTTTCTTTTCTTTCTTCATTTTAGCATTTATACAGTATTATAAAATAAAATTATTTTTTTCCTTTTTTTTCCACATAATATTATTACAAAAACAAAAGCATGCATTTTTTTTTTTCATTTTTTAATCCAATATACATATTTTATGTAGTAGAGTATAGTATACCATGATATTATAGTATAGTACTATGGTATACTATGGTATACTATGTTTTACTATGAAGTACTATCAAACCCTAACCGCCAATAACTTCCAGCCGTCACCAACCCTAGCAGCCAAACGCAGCTGCCGCCAAACTCTAGCGGTCAAACAAAGCAAAATCTCTTAAAAGATAATCCGATGCAATCAGCCAAAAAAATGTTTTTTTTTTCTAACATAAAAAAAAAACTTTCAATAACAGCCGATTCTTCGATTCACAGCGCCGTTAGACACTCGTAGACAACTAGAATCATTTTCAAAATCTTACTTTTGCAGTTTAGAACCCTAGCACCGCTAGCAAACGTACACCAGTCGCCGTCGAGCCGTCCTCGCCGTATACACGACTAAACGCACACACACCATGAATTCATCATAACCAGCCCTAGTCACCGCAATAAAAACAACGAAAATACATTTGCAGGCACACATGTCGCCAACCCTTCCGTGATGGAATTGCCACTTCCCCGGCCAAGGCGAGTCAGGGACATCGGCCCGCGGCACAAGGGCGTCTGAATTGGCCACCATCGTCCGTTGAAGATCTATTGTTCCACCGTAGATTTATAAAACCTCATATCTAATAACCAAAAAGAAAGAAAAAGAAAGCAAAAGAAAGAAAAGAGTGAATGAGACAGATTAGGGTGCGGAAATAGGGAAAGAGAGAGAAAGAAGAGGAGGAGTTGGGCAGATTGGGGGCGTGGAAATAGAGAGAGAGAGAGAGAAAGAGAGAAAGAGAGAGAGAAAAGGAGGAGGTGGGCAGCGGAAGAATAGAGAGAGGAAGAGAAAGAGAGAAATAATAGAATGAGAGTAATGTATTTTTTTATTTATTATATTAAGGATAGTTTTGAGTTTAAAAAAATTAAAAGAGTGTGTAACAGTTTTTGTTCGAAATTAAGTATTTAATAAAAAAAAATCTAATTGAGCTTGTCCCCTACATCTAATTAGGTTTGCTTTGAGGGGTGTCATGCATATTACCTCTAGAAAAAAAAGCTAATAAATGTCCTTTGATTCTAGAAAAAAAACTTAATAAAATGACTAAGATAACTCCTTTCTTAAATTGTTCCACCATCAATTATTTATAAATGAATTAAGAGTATGAAGGGCAAAATTGAGAAACACACAGTGAATACTTCATTAAAATTTTGAAGTGGCAAACAATTTGAAATAAAAAAATTTATCCAAAACGACAAATAATATGAGGGAATAATAAAAAAATAGGAGCGAATTTCAATTTACACAGAAAGTATATGATATGTCACAAACATCTCCTAATTTACAAAACATACCAAATACACGATTTGTTCGACCCTACACCCGGTGAAAAATACCGGGTGGGTCTTCTGCTGCCACGTGTCTCTTTTTTGTATTTTATAATAAATTCCCCGCTAGGGTTTTACCTTTAGGGGTTTTAGAAAAATAAAAAAAAGAACACGTGGCAGCAGAAGATCCACCCGATGTTTTTCACCGGGTGTAGGGTCGAAGGAACCCCAAATACACCCGCCATTTTTTTATTATTTTTTGGCCCAAAAACTTTTTTATTCCATTAAAATATCGTTTAGGGTCTCATTAAAACTTTGTGGACCTACACAAGAAAAAAAATAACCTCTACAATAGTAATAAAAAGCCCGATCTAACCTATCACGGGTAGTAGAAAAAGGTCCAATCGAGGGATACAAGCTATTGCCCCACAAAGGGCTAAAGTATAAATAACCAAAAAAACCAATAAGCAATCCCCACCCTCGGAAAAACCAGTTATTGCATACATGACCCCAAAGAGAGGCACTCTTGCAATAACCGAAAATATGACTTCTAAACTAGAGCTCATCTACCACTGTTGCTGGAAGATGAAATACATCCCCCATATGTATGAATCAAAAAAACTACAGCATTGAAACCTTGGCATGTAT